ATACAGTAGATCCCCCTATAAAACCGTTTCCTATAGTTATGATTCCTATAAAAATTGTGGCAGTATCCGTAAACAACGGTAAAAATAACTCCTATAATACGTAAAACGTCATCGGGCAGCCGAACTACTTTCCCGCCGTCCGTAGCGTGGCGCTACGGCGTTTAGGCGGATAAATTGAGTTTAGTATCATCTGTTCATATAATTATATATAAATTAGGTACTGTACATATAATTATATATTAATTATATATAAATTAGGTACTGTATATATAATTATATATTAACTTAATTTATTGTAACTTTATTATAATTAAATATATATTTTTCGCCGTCTAGCGTCACGCTACGGCGAGTTAGGCGACCTATCGTCTGTTTAGTACTGTAATTTTATACATTTCTTGTGAAAGAAACATTTCTTATTCAACGGCCATAAAAATTATTTATATTAATGATGTCTCCAAAGGTCAACGAAGTTTTCGCAGAAAAATAATATCAGAAATCGCGGTCGCCGTTTGATGCGGTGTTCCGCGACGAAAATAAGCTTTAGCAACGGGCGTAGTCGAACGGTGCACACTCGGTAAGTAATCCTATAATTTTTTGTTTATAACGTAGTTTATACGGATTATTTCCAAAAAAAATATACGTATTTTGGAATTGTTGAGTCGAATTAGTCTAGAATCGATTAATTTTATGGAAGAAAACCTTTCGAACAGCCTTAGTCCGTAAACTGTGATTCCTACAAAATTGATTAATAAAGAACTGAACGTATCTACCGTCTTATAGGGGGATCTACTGTATATGAGACCAGAGAAACGTAATTTATAAACTCGGTTTAACGAACACATATTCGCGATTAGATATAATAATAGTCGCTCGGTTGTTGCAGTTCATTATAACAATGAATGTTGCCAAATTATTACAAACAACATTAAAATTGTTAACAAAAAATCCAATATAATAAAAAGAAGATGGTATGAACGTTTATAGATACGAAAAAACAAAGACCCAATGATAAATGATACACTAATACCGGACAAAAATTACATGGAACATGGTATCCATGGTAAACATGGTGTTACGATTTTACTGTAAATAAGTTTATCATCTTATTGTTTTAAAAGTGCACTTAGTTTTGACTTCATCATTCTATTTTATTGTTTTAATGATAAAACAGTTTTCAATGTCACAGTTTTAACAGTGACATTGTTATTGTTTTAACAGTGTACTTTTTTATGTAAATTGTTTTCCTCTCACTGCTATTGCTACTTTATGTATCGATTCTACTCTAAGCCAGGGCTTCTTAAACTATGAGTCGCGACCCCATTTGGGGTCGCTTAGTGAAATCTTGGGGTCGCGAGATTTTAATGCAAAATATTGAAAATAATTTGTGAGAGTTTGAAAATGGCACGCTTTGTGTCATGGGTTTCGTGAGTTGCGCTTTGTGTCACTTCTGATGCAGCGAGACAACGATTCAGCAACACTGATTGTAGTGTGAACTAGTGTAGTGTTTAATAAAAAGTAAAATACAGCTGGATACGAGTCCAATTTTGCTTGCCATTTCCAATCACCAGGAACAACTATTTCCATTGCAGAGACAACCTTTCTTTAGAGGCTATGCCTCTGCACAAATATGTAAAACAGTTTAAAATATTCACAGGTGACAATCCCAACACAATTAAAAATATAATATTTCTTTGTAGTGTTGTTGCTTTTCAGTGTATTCAGTTGTCTCTGTTCCATTGTAACACAAGAGTGAACTGTGGTCGTACACCATTATTGTGTTTGCAAATTTGTATATATCATTATTTTATATTTTTCTGGGGTCGTGAAAAAAATCA